TTGTTGTTGCTGTTGTTGTTGCTGTTGTTGCTGTTGTTGTTGTTGTTGTTGTTGCTGTTGTTGTTGCTGTTGTTGTTGCTGTTGTTGTTGCTGTTGTTGTTGCTGTTGTTGTTGTTGCTGTTGTTGTTGCTGTTGTTGTTGCTGTTATTGTTGCTGTTGTTCGTACGGCAATTAACGTACAATCAATTCATGTCCATTGGCGTAGAATAATAATATTCATATCATTAATATTCAGAGACAAAGCCCAACTATAACAAAGACAGTCATGAACCAGCGGCTAACCATTAAGTTTTTAACTGTTGATAATAATTATTTGTTATGGTTGTGGCTTGTCTGTTAATGGGCGTGTCATTAGTATGCTAAAAACTTCAATTGCCCACCATGAATTAATTCTTTACGCACGTTAGGATTTTAACTGAACAAATATTTAAAAGCATTAATTTAATTGTTTTCCCATCAATTACTACGCGGAGAAATGCACACAGTTGTCCGCCATTTTGAAAATAAGCGCGTATGCTAATTTATGCCTCAAAATACATTATCTGACGTCATTGGCTGGGTAAACACAATTTCATGACTATAAACAATACCGAGTATTGCCACGCGTAGTGCATTTGAACCGAAAAAAAAGGCAGCAAAGTTTTACCAAGTATGTAATTTTTTTGTAACACTATTTCTCATGGTATATATCCTACTCCGTGTTAAATAAACGCAGAAATTCGAGTGTAACAAGACAAATACTAATGCAATATTTTATGATCAATTACCTGTATTGTAAATTGCGCCATTCCTTGCTTTCCCAGTCGCTCGATATGTTTTATCTGATAGTGTAGACTTATCTTGTATGATTGCGAAGAGTGTTGGCCAGTATAACGCTCAAAACGACATATTTTTAGCTAACATAACACGCACGCAATAGAATTCTCTCTTGTAGTTTTAGTGCTACCCATCCAATGACGTCACAAAGTTCATTGACCTTCGAGATAATTTGTCAAAAAATATTTCCAAGATGGCGGCGAAACACAAAGTTTGCATGCATTTTACTCGTAGACTAAAATGTTTGAGAACGAAATGATAATATTTTCATAGTTAGGTCGTCAAGTAGGATTGAAATAGCCAATAAAATTTTTCGGTGCCATTGTCCTTAAGTTAAGTTAAGGTCAATCTTTTTAGTTCATAACAATACTGAAATTAGCATTTTTCTGTTGCAGGAACCCAACAATCTCGCAGGAAAAAATGCATTCAAGTATAATGGTCTTGTCAACAAAAAGGTATGTGGGATTATGATAATAACTTGAAGATATAGTATATCAATCTTGAATTAATCTTGCATGTTGGGCGGCATGTACTGTAGGTAACAAAGATTGCAATTTGCAGGCTTGGGTGTTTGATGTAACTACATGAAAATAAAAATGAACTTGACATAATATGTGTCTTATTTCCTAACTTGACACTGTCCACGCCAATGGTATTAATGAATTTTTGCTATCTACTTAGGTTTAATTTGCCCATGCCTTGTATCAGGAGAAATTGACAGTATTACCTCACTTCATTTTTGTTTTTCTGTATTTCTTGTATATCTTCATTCGGGTTTTTTACCTATAGTATCTTCAATCTCAATGACTATATTCTGGAATGTGATTTACAAATTTTGATTACACTTTTTTTTACCAAACCTATCTTTCTATAACTTGGCAGTATATCCACTATCTAAGCAGACTTCTATAGGTGCATTGTGTATGTTCTTTGTCGCAAACACCAGCACTTATTATTGTAATACTGCATATCGAAATGTTCATGGTTTAGGCTCCCCAAAGAAAATTGCACAGTTTTTGTTTGATATATCTTATGCATGGTTTCGAATCAAAACTCAGGGGTTCTATGTCAGCTTTAGTACAGATAGGAAACCTGGGACTCAGTGTAGATTGTTGTGGATACTTGACAACCTGTAAAATAAGTATTGTCAATTGAGTTTGTAGGACAGCACAGCTAAACAGTATTCACATATGATGTAATCATAGTGATTATACTACATCATCTGTAGTATTCACATATGATGTAATCAAGTATTGATGTAATGTTGTAAACTATAGGTTGTTGGTGTTGAGCCCAGTCCTGATGGTAAAGGTGTGTTGCTTGTAACCAAGAAAAAACGAGGTAAGATATATTTGATGTTACAATTACTTTATACAGTATGATGAAAAAGATTTGGAAGTACTGTAGACTCTGTGCATAAATCTGTGTGTTTGAGTGGCGAGAATGAATATGTGCACATATGACTATGTCTATGAATCTTGGGAGCAAGGGCATAGAAAACTCGTCAGTAAAATGGAGATTACAGTATGTAGGGAAAACGTGATTTGTCGGTAATTGATTGTAAATGGTCGGTAAGTTGATCAGTAAAATGTGCCCTTTTGGACAGTACGTCATTTGGATTATAGAGCATTATTTTTGTGTATGTGAGATTAGTGAAATGCAAGCCTCTCAATCGCGAAAATGAGGCTCCATAGCCAGAGTGGCGTACTTTGCAGAAGCGTTTATTGAGTTGGTCAGTAAAGCGACAAGGCTGTAGAGGAACACACGCGCACCTCAATCCCGCTCGAAATGGTCTCGGTACGCCACCACTTGGAAGAAACGTTAACCCTTAAGGGTAGTGTGGATTATAAAGCATTTGCTTGGATCTGAGAAATGTTTAATGAAATGTGCAGTTGCTCCGACACTGGCTAATAATGATCGAGGAGCTTTTCAATATCTACATTGATGGCTTGTGCTAATCACTTCCATCATGAATCAGTCCCAACAATTCATGCAACCGAAAAGTTAGTCTTAGTCCCAGGATATTGTTTTCGAATTTTCTGCATGTTTGATACCATAAAGTTCTGATGTAATTCTGATGCTTGTCACAACGAACAGTACAGAATAAAATTAATCGGTCATTCAGTGTTTTTGCTCGGCAGTTAACCATTTCCCAACCGTTATATTCCACACTGCTTAAGGATCAGATGTATGAACAGCAACCAGGAAAAGGTACTCAGTTGATTGGAAATTGTCAACTGCTGTAAATTCAAAAGAGAATCAAATTTCACCCCAGAATTGCTCCGTTTTGGGGTCGTTTCGACTCTATTATGGGATCGTTTCGACTCTATTATTGGATCGTTTTGATGACTCTATTGAATTAACAGTGTGGTTACGTATTTCTTCCAGGTCACAATAAGCCCGGCTCTAACTTGGTTTCAAACAAACTGAGCAAAAACAGTCGTGCGTCATTGAAAAGCATTAGAAATGCTTGTGGTAAGAGCCATTACCGAGGTGATTTGGAGGATGCCGCAGTGCGTCGTGCTGCTGCCTTCATACGAAGCCAGAGGCCAACTGCTGCTGTCCAAAAGCGACGTACACGTAAGAAGCAAAGTTAGAATGTAACAAGTTGATGTTTCCGAATAAAGATTTGACCTCTGATATAAATTGATTGATTCACTTCTTTATGCGTAACCAAATTTTTCGAGATTAAACCACTTGTGTGATACCATGGATTGTAAAATAACTGGATAGGAAACTTCCTGACGTCACAGTCTAAACTAGTTGCAATCTGTGACGTCACGCGTATTGCCAAAGTTCTCGGCATTTTTGTTCTTTTGCTATATTTTCCGCTTTAAAAGAGTAATATTGAAGCATAAACTGGTCTGATTGTTTTAAAAAAATGCCTATTATTAAGCCACGACAAAGTATTCAAAATAAATTAGTTTTTCGTCTTTGTTTTTGTGTTTTTTTTACATTTGTAGCTACGAAATTGGCGTTGCCAATTTTAACGAAATTTGCGATGCATTTTTCACTGTTTAGTGCTTGAAATATTTGCTAAAAGTGACTGGGAATACTTAGAGATTTCATCGTAGAATGGCCTAGTTATATTTATTTGCTCTTGGACTAAAATGTTTAGCTAAACATGCCGTTTTTGAGAATTTAGTTTGCAACTACAGTAGGTTTCAACGCCATCATCCCGTTGAAAACATTAGGTCACGTCAGCTAGTTTCCTATCCATGTATTTTATTATCCATGCTGATACAGATACTCTTTGGAAAACTCACTCATGTATGTTTTATCAAATTGCACTCGAAACTAAAATCCTGATATTTACCTCACATACCTTATATTACTATGTCATCACGTTAGTACGATCACACAAACTTGCTGTTAGGGCTCGACACCTGAACTCTGTAGCTCAGTTTGTTAGAGCGCTGCACTGGAATCGCAGGACCGCAGGTTCGAGTCCTGCCAGAAGGCCTATAGTTTTTGAGTTTTTCGCAACTGCTCCTGCGGTCGCTCTCTAATAAACGCCCCGTATCTTATAGACAGCCCGATCAAACCAGTGCTTTGTGGTAGACGCTCCTCTATTCTTTTAAACGCCTCTTATCTAATGAACGTTGCACCCCTATATGCGTTTATTAGATTTAATTTTAAAACAGTTTTAAAATAAACGCTTGTTAAATTATTAGTGTTTGGAGCATACTGTAAGTGTAACCATACATAGCATGCGGCTTAAACAAATGCACCACATGCGCGAAGACCAAACTATTTTTGAATAAATACAAAGGCTTGTGATTCCGAACAGACCAACACACTCACGCACCGAATATAAAGCGATGACTAACTTCGCTGGGGCCCCGCAATATAGTGTAGGAAACAGTGACACTGGTATGAAAGTCTTTTGTCGAGTATGCAAGCTGCTGGAAAGTGTGGCTTGGGAAGTGCAAAACCGCTATATGTGAAAATGAGCGTCTTCTCCTGCAGTTGACGCTCCTTATATAACGAACACTACCTCTTTAAAGTTTATTGGATTGTTTACGCTATTCAGTTATTGTGGATGGTGCAAACACGTAAAATTACTCAAAGTCTGAGCAAGAAGACACTATATATTCATTAACCTTGCAAACGCCCTATCACATTAAATTTCAGCTTGTAACATTTCACTGATTTTCATTTTAAACCGTATTTAAAGTAATGTTATATTTTTATTCACTCATCATCGGTGGAACTAATGAACTATTCATTAAGATTGTTTACACAGTAAACAATTAGATTATTTACTCAGCAAGATTATTCATACAGCGCAAGCAAAATGGATTGTAGTTTTAAAAAGCATAGCTGGGAGCGGTTTAATATACATTTTCATAACTTTCGAGTTTATTTTCAATGCACAAGAAACTATTGTAGATTATGAGGTCACTCAGCATCACTCCAATGGTCTTCAATTCTGTGTGACTGTAGGCTCAGGACAAGATCGTAAAGGTGTTCGGATAAATTTACAAAAACGGGCTCACATCGTTGATCATTCATACGAAATTCCTTAAAACAAAGACAAAAAAGATTGAATGAAGTTATAGCATGAAATTTATATTGGAGAAGTTTGGGTGAAGTTTGAGGCGCGTAACACAAACTGCGACTTTCATAATATGCCAAATTGTTACCTTACTCATAATACGTACAGACGAACAAGCCAGTATGAAATGGTATAACCTTTTTGCGCACCGGACAAAACACACATCTTTTCTTGTGCACCAAACTTATCCAATGGTGTGCGCCAATAGTTGACACAAGAGCACATGCTAATGATGTTATAAATAATATTATTTGCAAGTTTTATATGGAAAAATATAACAAACTCTCTTTCCATCATAATAATGATATCTGTATGACCATTCCAGCAGAGTTGTAAGGGAATCTTTGAGATTTAAAACCGACTGTTTGCTGGGCTTTGTTTCTGGTTTTGTGCGCCAAACAAGGACAAAAATACCACTGTTCGAATCAGCGTAAAAAGTTGTATTTGTGGTGATGGAAAATTGATTTCTATTCTAGCGATTTGTGGCCTTTGAAAGACATACCGTTCAAAACAATCCTTTCACGTTTTCTGAGTTCCTTTTTTCGAGGAAATCTCTGGTTTTATGCGCTCAATAAGGACAAAAATACTGCCGCTTTATTTGTAGGGCACCGCATTTTAGTACTGTGTCTGGTTCCTACTAACCTGAAGTTCAGGCCCTAATTTGAAATAGGGCCTGACACAAAACCTGTCTAGACCGTGGGACGCCCACATGTTATTTTTAGATACACATGCAATATGATTGACAAGTGTTGTAGATTTCGTTACACAAAAAAATGATATTCTCATGAACATGTCCGCAGAGCATTTTGCTTTTTAATTAAACTTAAAAATTCAAGGTACTTTTATATAATTAAGAGTCAGTTTCTCTATTTAACCGAACAGGCGAACAGCAAACAAAGATTTAATTAGTCAGTTCTGTGCACGGCTTGACTGCCAAGCTTTCTCATGGCCGGTCTCAACTTGCTGGACGCGGATATACTCTAACGACTAAGGACTAACGGGCTAATAACAGCAACAATTAAATTCTCAATCATACCACGAAGAAGGCGATGTAGCTCAGAAAACAATTACGCTGGTAGGACCTGATATTAAAAATAAGACTTTTGCCGGCGAAGCAAGTTGGCAGAACATCTTGGCTGTCAACAACAAGCTTTCGAATACACGACTAGTTTGGCTGTTCTTTCAGCGTCGTGTGTGTCCAAATTCGTCAAAGATTTTGATGAAGCCCTTTCAAAATACTGTTTGTTTGATTTATTTTCTGCCATAAAGCATAAAAGAAAAGAAATTCGAAGCAATCGATAATGGAATTTGTTACGTGCGTTTGACCTTTATATTAATTCCCGCCTTGACCGAGTTATTTTTAAAACTGTTGTTTATGTGAACTTACAACCAATCAAAATCCTTCATGATGCTGATCAACCAATCAGATTTCCCGTCCACCAGGTGGACGGGAATCCCACACTTTAGATAGGTTTTGTGTCAGGCCCTATTCTGTGATAGGGCCTGAACTTCAGGTTAGGTTCCTACAGGCTACTGCATGTGATCACAGAAATTTTGATAGTGTAAACCAGCCTTGACACTGGTGTAGGGAGACCTGGTATTAAATTTGCCGCCCACACCTTATTCACTGTTAGCCACTTGGGCGACTAAGTAGTGTTTTATCAGATATAAAGATACGAGGCGAAGCTGAGTATATCTTTAGGTCTGATAAAACAGGCACTGCATGCGAATGTTTTAAATTGCTTCAAAAACGACCGATCTAGTAAGTTTATTGGCGAAGTAATTTTCAAAAAATACGTTGTGTAAGTCGAGAAAATCAAAGTTAAAGTTTATGTAAATCAATTAGGGAATCTCTATCACATATACTATGAAGATACGACACGCTTGACGCTTATGATTTTTCTTTGTTTTCATTCCATCCTGGCGAGTAGTATAAATATACGGTGATGTCCCCCTCACCTGTAATCTCCTAATTAGTTTAAACATTTCTTTATTTCTTCTTCTTTCTTGTCGTTTTTTCCACAGCATTAGTCCAAACGTTCCTAGAAAGAAACTCAAATTTAGCTACACCAAAATACAATTCAAAACTATAGTGATTCACCGACATCCATACCGATATCCATATCGGATATCGGCCCTAAATTCAAAATATACTGCATATTGTAGCGTCCTCCGCAGGCATCTCTTAATCGTCGAGAACTTATATAATTTATAGTTATTCAAATAACTGATGTTTTTCTGATTGGATCCATAGATATCTTATATACACTAGATAGCGCATCTCTTTTAGTAAAATTGAAGCCAAGAATATTCCAGCGGTTACCCCCATTTGAATAGATGGCGGCTATGTTGGAGTTTCCCACTCGCTATTAATAAACGCTTAAAAAACAACAATAACTTTCATCATTTCAATAGTTTGAAAATGCATTTGGAATAGGTTTAACTTAATGTTTAAGTTCCCTGTTTAAGAAATAGAAAACATACAAGTCTTCTCATTTCGTGGGAATATCCTGAGTCTACAATCACGGCTTCAATTTTTCAATTGCAGAATAATTAGATGCACTATCTAGTGTTATGTAAGATGTCTATGATTGGATCACCTGTAAATATTGATTCTCGACGAGATGCCTGCGGAGGAGGCTACTGCATATTGATTGTTATGAAAATTTAATTTAGCATATTTAATCATTCATCAGTTAGTTTGTCCGCAAACAAGAGGTGCTGCAACTCATTAGGCTTAATATGACTATTTTACTTAACAATATCATGAATAAATTACACGTTTTGATAACACCTGGGATTTCCCGAGTTCACATGGCCTTGGAAATTTTACAAGCACGTTCGTGAAAATATTATGTAACTATAACGTCGTCGTTCTATTAAACACGAAAAAACGACATTTAAGCGTGATTCTCTCGTTTCAAGGTGCGCGAAATTGAAACTGCGCGAAAATATCGCATTTAGTGTGCGCTAAATTACATCGCGCGAATGTAAACCCACTTATTTTTGTCCCCTGAAAATCGCCAAGACATTATTTTTTCTAAAGATACCCCGTTAATACGACCCGTTCTCGACAGGCAAGCAAAAACTGAAATCGAATCAAAAACTGAATCGGGGCGGCGGTGTGAGGTATGGTTTTGCCGAGTCATTTGCTTGGTCTGTATTAGCGT